GGACGACGTGAAAGAGAAATACTAAATATACCAGATCAAGAATCAGTGTTCGTAGAGGACCCACATAAGTTACATCCAAGCCTTAATGATATCTTAGCCAATAATTCAAACACTCAGAACTCATTGTGGGTTCTTGAAGAACTCATTATGGGTTCTTGAAGAACTCACAAATTAACACTTGTTTATAGAAAATACCTATGCGATTTCTGAATTTATTATTTTGTCATTTAGGTCCTTGTTCTTCCGGAGAAGCGAATATCGGATATCTCTAAAACTACACATCCCTTAAACGTTGATACCATAAAGAAATTACATCCCGCTTTCAAATCTGACAGTGTAGCATTTTACATTACATTCGTTAATATCTATAACACATTTTGTTTAAGCAGATCGGTCATATCTGTTACGTAATATGCACGAAGATTTTAATATGCAAGTTTACGATATTATTATAAACTGTATACTTATAAAAATACAGGGATAATATGATGTTTAAAACACATAAAAGTAAAAAACATTATGGGCAGAGGGGAAGACGGGAGGAGACGTTAAGTGAAGAGTCTGCTGAAGTTTGGCGCACGGCAGATTTATTGTTAATGACATATGACATTCGGCGTACAGATTGTAATTTGTGATGGGCGCATCGGATCTGATGTTATACAGTATCGGATCTTTATCGATCTTAAAAAATTTTAATGATCTTCAATGCAATCTGATGAGGTTTTAAACGGCCAAAACAGTAAAAGTTAATGTTTAATTAATATTTTTTGGTGTTTTTTAAAGGCAGCAGTGATAAAACAACAGAAGTGTTGCTATATTGTTATGTTAGTTTAGCGTTTAGCCACAGCTTTTCCATGAAACATTAGAAACAATTTCGTTCACATTTGGGGTAAATATATATATATATATATATATAATATATATATATATATATATATATATATATAATCGTTGACGAAAGCTTAGACCTTTAATTAAAAAGCACATCTAACGAAGCACCCTAGTTTTATTTTGCTTCCTCAGTTAAAAAGGGTATCTCCCAGTATTATCTCCTTTTCACTATATATATATATATATATATATATATATATATATATATGAAGGTAGCGGGTAGGTACCCCTCTATGATCCCGATAGAGGGTAGACTTACTTCAGGGAGGTAGCGCCCCTGCCCACGCGAGCTCCTGGTTTTCCTCTACTCCCTACTTAGGGGAAACCAGGCCCAAGCCCCAATATTATCCTACCCAAACCCCAAATTCCTTCCCTATATCCTCCCCCAACTCGCCAACACGTCTGGCCAGCGTGGCGTTTTAAGGCCAAACCCCCCGTAAACATGCAAAACACAAACCAAACACGGCCCTCAGTCCCCGGCAGCTCAAAAATCTCTGACCAAGGTAGCGGACAGAAAAGATTAAGAGCAGAGGGTGCTAAGAATACCCGGGATGGACCAGGCTACCACTCAAGACGGCTAAATTGCACAAGAATACTGCATCTTGCATCCTATAATATAAGAACCCTCTCAACCGATCATAAACTAATAGAACTGGAAAACGAATTAAAAACAATAAAATGGGATGTAATGGGACTTAGTGAAATTAGAAGGAGAGGAGAAGAACAACAAACATTGAAATCAGGACACCTGTTCCACTACAGAGGAGAGGAACACTCATCCAGCGGTGGAATCGGGATCATTGTACATAAAAAACACATACCCAACATAACGAAAATCGAGACCATAAGCACGAGAGTCATCCTATTGATATTAAAACTAAACTCTCGTTATAGTTTAAAAGTTATACAGGTCTACGCCCCGACAACTGGACACACAGATGAAGAAGTTGAAAAATTCTATGAGGATGTAGCAGAGGCACAACAAAGAACACGAACACACTATACTGTTCTCATGGGCGACTTCAACGCAAAACTCGGATTCAAACAAGACCAAGCGGAGATCGCGTTAGGAAAGTACGGATACGGGACAAGAAACGCAAGAGGGGACATGCTTTTAAACTTTCTACACCATCAATGCATGTTTCAAATGAACTCTTTTTTCAAAAAGAAACCCCAAAACAAATGGACTTGGATAAGCCCTGATGGCGCCGTCAAAAACGAAATCGACTTTATAATTACAGATAAAAAATATATAATACAAGACGTGGAAGTACTCAACAAGTTCTCTGCTGGTAGCGACCATAGGATAATAAGAACAAAAGTAATGCTTAACGTTAAAAAAGAAAGAATGAAGCTTGTTCCCAAACCAAATGTTAGAAGATGGGTACCACCTGAAAATGCAAAACTGTTTGAACGTACGGTCGAAGAAAAATTACAAAACGAAGAAACAGAAAACATAAACATCGAACAACTAAACCAGAAAATAGTCAAAGCTCTGAAACAAGCACAAGAACAATGCTGCGCAAAAAACCAAAAAGACGAAGAAAAACTAAGTCTAAGCACGAAAACTCTATTAGAGGAAAGAAGACAACTAACAGATAAATACAGAACCAATCTAACAAAAATGAGACAACTAAACAAACAAATCACTAAGAACATCAGAAAAGATATAAGAGACTACAACACTAGAGAGATATCAAAAGTCATAGAAGAGAACAAAAGTTTAAAAGTCTTCAGAAGGAAACAGCAAATAGGAAAGAAAAATATTTACAAGCTGAAAAACACAAAGGGCGAAATAATAACAGATAAACAGGAAATTCTACAAACTGTCGGACAATTTTACAGCGAACTCTACAGCAAAACAGAAGAAAATGTTCCAACTGACAACATACCAAAGGTTCTAAACCAGGGCTCGGAAGACATACCAGATGTTACTGTTGATGAAATCCAAAAAGCTCTCCTACAAATGAAAAATAATAAGTCACCTGGTGACGACGGGGTCGTTGCCGAAGCCATAAAATTAGGAGGCGAGAAACTGATACAAATGCTTTCCATACTTTTCACAGAATGCCTTGAAAGAGGAACAACACCATCACAATGGCAAAATGCAGTGATCATTCTAATGTTTAAGAAAGGAGATTTAACAAATCTCGTAAACTATAGACCAATCAGCCTCATCTCACACATATACAAGCTTTTTACAAAAGTCATAACAAACAGACTTTCGAACAAAATGGACTTTTACCAATCATGCGAACAGGCAGGATTCAGGTCAGGCTTCGGCACAAACGACCATCTACAAGTTATTAAAAGCCTCATCGAAAAATGTATAGAGTACAATAAACCCCTCGTCCTAATATTTGTGGATTATGAGAAAGCATTCGACACAGTAAACCACCAGAAAATGCTAGAAGCTTTAAAAGAGTGCCGAATAGATCACCGCTACACCACTGTCATCAAAAATATCTATGATAATGCCACGGCATGCGTCAGACTCCATGAAGATACACACAAGTTCAACATTCATCGTGGAGTTCGCCAGGGCGACACCATTTCACCAAAACTGTTTACAACATTATTGGAATACATGTGTAAGCGTGCAAACCTAGACGAAAAGGGCATAAACATAAATGGGGAGCAGCTTAGTCACCTCAGGTTCGCGGACGATATAGTCCTGATAACAGACCGCATAGACCATGCCATCGAAATGTGCGAAAGACTCTACCATGCCTCTACACAAGTGGGTTTAAAGATCAATAACTCAAAAACACAAGTGATGACAAACCTTGTTCTGAGTGAGAAGATCAACATAGCTGGAACAAGTATAGAACAAACATCAGCATACAAATATCTGGGACACGAAATTCGCTTAAGTAGAGATAACCAGACCAATGAACTAATACGTAGAATAGGGTTGACATGGGCAGCTTATGGAAAGCTAAGAGATGTTTTCCAATCAGCTCTTCCCATCTGCTTGAAGAGAAAAGTCTTCGATCAATGTGTGCTGCCGGTTCTAACCTATGGTGCGGAGACGCTAACACTTACTAAGACGTCCGCAAACAAAATCCGAACAACACAGAGGGCAATGGAACGGTCCATGTTGGGATTAACCCTGAGAGACCGAATACCCAACACAGAATTGCGCCGTAGATCGGGAGTAACCGACGCAATCAAAAGAATATCAACCTTAAAATGGAACTGGGCAGGGCACGTCGCGAGAACGAAGGACGGCAGATGGACAAAACGCATTCTTGAGTGGAGACCCAGACAAGATGCCTTTAGGAATAGAGGACGACCACCAACAAGATGGACGGATGACCTGAAACGGACACATCAAAATTGGATGCAGGCGGCTCAGGACAGAAATTTGTGGGGTGAACTACGGGAGGCCTATGTTCAGCAGTGGACGAGTATGGGCTGAATGATGATATATATATATATATATATATATATATATATATATATATATATATATATATATATATATATATCCCATAAGTATTAAGTTAATTTTTCGATGGAAAGTTACCTTTGTTACTTTAATAATTATTGTAAAGTACACTCTTGTATTTTTAGTAGAAATTTATTATGTTTTATGAAAAAAAAAAACAGATACACCTAAACCTTGGAATAATAAACAATCAGAGTCAGAAACTATGTTTCCGTTTAAAATATGTCGATCGCGAGCTGACACATTTCTCTGGCGGCATCTGAGACTGAGCATTCTGATTGTTATTTATTCTATGCCTAAAACACAGAATAAATATTCTGTGCCTAAACTAACCTAACACTCGAATCATTTTTCTTGTTAGAGCATCGATGTATTCTTATTAAACCATATACCCATAAATAATATTATAATATCTATTATTAATATTGTTATGTTCGAACTTAGTTTATTATATTTTTTAAAATTATTCATTACATTACAATAATATTTAGATAAGAATAAAAATAAAAATCAAATCATACAATCGATTGAACTTCAATTAATGAAATACATTGAGTCAGTTAGTTTTTGAATGTAGGGATCTAGTGAACCGGATCAGGGAATCAGATGTTGCGAATCTCATAAACGATCCGAATTTGCCATCACTACACATGCTGACGGAAACGTAAATAAAACGAAATGTCTGCCATCGATAGCGTCTCGATTGAATACTAATCGGTTTATATTTTACAAATTAAAATAATTGAAAATGCCTCGAGCGAAAAAATCGGTAGTGTGGGATTATTTTATAAAATTACTAGATGATCCAATAAATAACCGCGTGCTGTGCCAAATTTGTAACAAGAAAATGAAATTTTTTGGCAACACAACAAACCTTAAAGAACACTTGAGGCGCTCTCATCCACAAAACTTGGCCGATACAGAGTCGTTACAGAATAGTCAAAATGATAGTAAGTGCTGATTAAATCGATTCATGTTAGCATACAAGATCGATTGAATATTATTATTATTATTTGAATTAGCGCAGTTTTGATATTCTTAAATTTAGTGATAATTATTAATTATAACATATTCATTTATTACACAGTAATCGACAACTAGTGTTTAAGTTAATAGTAAGCAAAGAGTAAAAATAATTATAAAAACTTAGGTTGCAAGTACAAACATTAGATACTTTTTAAAGAATTCAAAATTAAGTTAACTCCCCACCAGAAAGGTCACATTTTTGGAGACAATTGGGAAGGTCTCGTCCAACAAATTATTGTATATATAATTTTGTCATTTTATTGTTAGATATTAATATTTAACAAAAAATGACCCTATTGAACCTTCTAAATGTGGTAAATAACATATTGCATTGTTAAAATATCTTTAATTTTGTAAAAAATCACAATGAACTGCAAGTAACTACATTTGGTAAAAAAATCTGTAACATTTTAAAAGACTGTCAAAAATTCAATAAAAAACTAAAAATTAAACTATGTTTTTATAAGTAGTAGTTAGTTGTTGAATTAAAAACAGCAACTACTTATAAGATATTAAAAAAATCAAGATTATGGTCTACAACAATCAGTGACTTTCCTCATGTTTATGTTTTCTTATTTAGTATAGGAATTTTCGTTGTTAAGTTTTCTGGTATGAGGTCTGACCTCAGTTTGACACCATCTAAGTCTATTTTTACCCTACATATATTTTTTATCTTCTGAATATTTGAACTATCATCATTGTCATTGATATTTTCATCCGACAACTCTGAATTACTCTCATGATTAGAATTAATATGCTTATTCAATGAAATCTCTATCACTAGTATTACCAGCAATTTAATATCATTCTATAACAGTTTCTTCAAAATCTTCCAAAATAGATCTCTTTTTTTTAGGAACTAGCTATAGCTCAGTGGTAAATGTGGTTAAAACAGCAAATTGCCTTGAAAACTCATCTTCTTTGTGAATTATTGTTAATAAAGGGCATACTTTCACAGAACACTAGGAAATATCAAGACTTAAAACAGTTTAATAGTTTCCCATTTGATGGTTTTAATCTTCTAATTCTGCAATTTGCTTACCAAACCAAATTTGGTTATTTTTCAATGTGCTATGCTACTAAATATCTAAGCACAAATGAAAACCTTTTCATCTCAAATTACTCTCCTAGAAACTTACCTTTCAATGAAAGCATAAATCAAGTTCAATATGATGTTTATCAATTCTGAGCCACCTTGCAAACAAATATCAGTTTCCTTCTTGAAAAGTTCTAATACCAAAAGTAGATTTTACCTTAAGAAGCTATCCCAAACATTCACACAATCCCTCTGAAATTAAACAACATTTCCAGTCTACCATATCCAGATTCTAATTTCAAGCTAATGGTTACTAATGCCCCCAAAAGCAGCAATGGTATAACTGCTGCAGATATTTTTGTAAATAGTACCTCTATCACTTGCCTAGCCAAGGAGTGTAGCATATCAAATGGAGAACTGAAAAATCTCCAATGTACCAGCAAAAATATAAATTTTCTTATTATATTAGATTTTTGAGTGCCTTAAATGGTATCAAACAGATGTATCCTACACAAGGAGTGTAGCATATCAACTGGTGACCTGTGCAAGCAATCTCTATTGTACCAGCAAAAATATATGAGATCTTTGAGTGCCTTAAATGGTGTCAAATAGATGTATCCTACACATGCAAATTTATCACAAATAAAAGACATGCTTTACAATGTCCAAACATGTGGCAAAAACATTCTTATGGTTACCATCCCATGTTGAGATAATGGTTAATGAAATATAGCAGCAGCAGAAACTGTCAATAACATGACAATCCTTAGAATGCAAAACATACCAATTTCAAACCAAAAAAAACAAATAACAAAAACCTTCATTAACAAAACTTGACAAGAAAAATGGAGCCAAATGAAGCAAAGCTTGATATTATCAAATCATGTATTACTACTGCATTACTACCACTCCCAGCTCAAAGACATTACCAAGTACTTCTCAAAAAACTGTGTATCGATCATACAAAATTTACATATAGATTCATCATCTCCAAGGACCCTCAACCGATTTAACAGCAAGATCGACAGCAAAAATACATTAGATATTGTGTTTCAAAGTTAAAACAAGTTTAACACACAAAATGCACTACTAATGGTATGAAAACAAATGCTGCAACTAGAAACGATAAATAAAAACAGTGGATGACATTTTAACACCAATCGAAAGACCAAAGGGAAGTAGTAACAGATCAATACCTTGAAATATAACTAAAAAAAAGTAGATGAATTAACAAATATCTACTAAAGAACAAGTGCATTATGAGTTATGACAGTAAACTTATTACAAACATGCAGAATAAACTTGGATTATGGAAAGGATACATAATGAGATTATTTGTCAGTGATAGAGAGATACAAGAAGAATTGCAAGAACAGAGACAAAAATAATATGACATAATTAAAACAAGAAATTAGAAATACAACAAACAGAAATACAGTAGGCCCAGATGAGATATCCACTGAGCTAATTAAGTGCATTAATGTAAATTCGCTTTCATAATACTCCCAAAGACAACACATGTGACATAATGTTCCCACTACAGAATGCTATCCTTGATAAGCCATAATGTGTAAGATATTCCTGAACTCTCGATACAAATCAAGTTTGAGTGATTATGACAAAAGATAGCAATATTCTACAGCAATAAGGTGTCATGAGATAACTCTGATGAGATGGTATTGTAAAATCTCCTTTTGGTATGAATCCTATAGAATATTCATTGATCAGCTATTGTCTTTGGTATAGAATATTGCAATATTAATAAAACAACTGTTCTTATTGGTCGCAGATCTTATTGAACTTATTGGTTATTATTAACTATTGTACTTTTAAAAATAATAATCTTTATATGTTTAGGTTTTATACTTTATGTGGATCATCCAAAAGCCAAGAGATTTAAAAAGATTAAAGATGACATTGATGAACATGAAGTATCAGAAGAAATATCAAATGAACATGAAAATATTGAGGTATTGTAGTTTTCACTGTACTGTTCGTTGCAAGATATTTCGGATTTAATCTTCTAGGTATAGTTGTATACAGGGTCGGACTTATATACTGATACATTTTATCAAGATTATGGCAATCCCACAAAGTAAAAGAAAAATACATATAAGTAATACTTTTATATTAAAATATATATTTAACATAGTGACAAAATACAAAAAAAATAATTTTAAACTTAACTATCGTCCAACATTTAAATCGGTATCACTATCATCGCTATCGTTTAAATCTATACTCTTATTTATATGTTTTGGAACTGTAAGTATTTTTATTCTACTTGTTGGATACGCTCCATACACTTTTTTCAATGATCTGCTGTAATATTACATTTGGTGTTAATTAAATGTACAGTAGTCGAAAATGACTTAGGAGAATTATTATTTTTCCTCACATTACTTTTTAATTGAGACCACAACAATTCTATTGGATTCAGTACACAATAGTAAGGAAGTAATCTTAATACTTTATGTCCGTGATTCCCAGCTAGCCTGTCGATAACATAATTTTTTTCACATTTAACTAATTTTAATAGTTCTACAAGTTGTTGTTTTGTGTAAGAATCCATAAAATATATTTCATGTTTTGATAAAAATACTTTGTTTGAATTAGTGTTTGGAATTTTACTCTTTAGTCTATAACGATACGGAGCATTATCCAAAATAATAACGCTATTTCTTTTTAATTTAGGTAGTAATTGCTGCTCAAACCACTTTTCAAACAAAGTAAAGTCCATATCTTGATGATAATCTAAGCGACAATCACTTACACTCTTAGCAGAGAGTAAGAAAGGATCTTCTACCCATTCTGATTCTCCCCCACGATGTAAAATACAAATTCTCTTCCCTCTGAGGGAGGAACATTGGTGACGCAATTTTTACTACCATCGGTCCAACATTTTTTAACTATATCGTGGGTGTCGAACCGAGTTTCATCCAAATAATACAAGTTCTTTCATAATTGCCTGTCGTTTATTCACTGTTTTAAACATAAAACAATTAGATTTTTAAAACCTCCAAAAAGTAGTTTTATGGCACTCGCGGATTATTTCCTGGTTTCCTAATTCACTCAAAAGTTTATTTAAAGGTGGTAAGTTACTGAATACATATGATATATTGTTTATCCAGATATCCAACCAATCCAACCAGAATCCTTTCTTTTTTTTTCGCAACACTGGACCGTCTTTTATAAGTTCGTACACAATAGATGTTGACACTTGTGTCAAAAAAACCATCTTTGTGATCGCTTCTGATTTAACTATCGTCGAAAGAAGACCTAAGAGAAAATAAGTAATTTTACTTTTTAAGGAATTCTGCTCGGAATTGGGGTTTTTACAAATTTCATTAATCGGTAAATATGATTCTTCTTCTTAGGGTGCTTGTCCGTTCCGAACCTTGGCGATCATTCTGGCTATGATGACTTTGTTGGTTGCTATACGAAATAGCTGTGTTGAGGTCTTTCTATACCATGCTCTCAGGTTAGCAAGCATATTCTTCTTCGTCCTGGGGCCCTTTTCCCTTCAATTTTACCTTCCAAAATGCATTGAAGTAGCTCGTATCTGCCTTGATTTCACATATGTCCCAAGTGCTGCAGCGGGTGGGGCGAATTCTCGTCCCAGGTCTAACGTTTTTATTAATATCTGTAATTAAGTTTAATCAATCGCTTTGACGGTTTAGGACATTGGTAGTTGATGTATTAAGAGCACAAAGAAGTAGTAAAATCCAAAATACCGCGTTAATATTCCCGTCGGATTTCGCCGAAATTTATGTGGGTCGAGAATTTGCCTCACGTGGCATCGAGTGTTTTCACGTTCTACAAATCTGATTTCATCAGTTTAGACGAAAGTTTTGGAAAATGGTTACTAATGACTGTACTAATTAATTGCCATGATGTGCAGTCGTATTCTTTACATATTAGCAGTTGATTGTAATGTGTTTCCTAGAACCTACCTACCTTGTAATTCGGAATTCTAAGTACAAAGGCAATTAACTGATTAAATTTAAATAGATACACAAAATTATGCTTAAAATTTTATTCACCAATCGTTACCAACTCAAAATTAAAATACGTACCTGGCTACACATACTTTATATAATTTAGTAAAGTACCTTTAAACTTTGGATAGAATTTAACATTGAACCTAACGTAACGAAAGACTAAGGGTGACTATTCTTTACAGCATTAAGGGAGTACAGTCATTTTCTCCTTGATATCGACCCAGTCTCTTAATCTTGGTAATTTCATCCGAATTATCTTGCAACGGATAGTATTTAGGTATAATGTTATTTGATCTTTTGTAATCAATATGGAATGGGAAATAGAGAATTAACTTAATATTATAATAATGTAGTTATAATTCTGAAATTGTGGTTAATTCTTATTACGTGTTAGTACAAAAGCAAAATTTCACAAGAAAATATTTTTAGAATAAGTTTTATTGATTGGTATTATCTATTTTGTTAGCTACAATGCTTTCTCTAAACTAAATCTAACAACAAAAATATTAAATTGAATCGAACAGACTATCATTTATATTAATATTTTTAAAAATCCATAACTTGCATTTTTCTACTTCCCATTCATTTGCTATATGTAATTTAATTACTAGAAGTAAATAGTTTAATTATTATCTTCCAACACATTGCACAGAAGTGTCCCATGACAACTTTTTATTTATCATAATTTTAATAAAAGCTATTTGTGAAATTTGTATTAGATTTAATAAAAACTATTTGTATTTGACCTCTAAAAATCCTACGAACAATCTGAATTTTGCTGAGAATGTCAATTTTGGGACCCAAAAAAGTTTACCACTCATACCGCGGGCTTCCCCTAAAAAGCCCCCTCGTAGAAAAGGGGGAGAGGAACGGAAAAAATCGGTTTACCAAGAAAGAGATAATTTTGAACAAAAATGTTTATTAGCACTTTTTGTGTAGAATGGACCGTTCTCTCAACAACAACTCTGGAAGCGACCGGCTATTTTAAATGTCAGTTACGTGCGCGAAATCAATTTGTATCAACTCGACGGTAAAAATTCGATATATTTTGATCAGAGTATGCTATCGACAAAATACAAAATGGTTTTTAAATGTGAAGAGTGCATCTTTTGAGTTTTGCAGCAAATAAAGTCAGTACCGCTATTTTTTACGATTCTCAATGAAATCAATAAAATTTATCGTAGTGTTAAGTACGTAAGTTGTTGTTGTAGTTGTTGTGTAAGTTGTGTAGTTTCGAAAAATGTACCTATTTGTGTAATTGAAAATAAGTAGCTTTAAACGTTTTAGATCGTTTGTAATGTGAAACTTTAAATTCAGCATTTTTTAATTATTCAATTAATTTTTTATTTTTAATTTAATTGAATTGAATTAATTATTCAATTAATTCAATTCAATTTTTTAATTATTCAGCATATTTCAAATGCCTCACATTTGTTGCCAAAACTCAAAACCAAAATTTTATGCTATATATTTTGAAGCTTAGACTCTTAAAACGCATTTTAATCTTTGTCGATAGGACACCGATGGCCGATTGTTCGAACGCTAATCAAAACTTCTTCTTTAAGTGCCATCTCCGCGACGAAGGTTGATAATCATCACAGCTATTCTGACCTTCGAGGGAGCTGCTCTGTACAATTGCCGTGAGCTGCAACCAAACCACTCTCTCAGGTTCTTCAACCAAAAAACGCGTCTTCTTCCTACGCTTCTCCTACTCTCTATTTTTCCTTAAATTATGAGTCTCAAGATGTTGAATTTTTCGCCTCTCATTACATGTCCGAGATATTACAATTTCCTTTCTTTTATTGTATTTTCTATTTCCGTCTCTCTGCCTATTCTCCTTAACACTTCTGCATTCGTGACTCTACCTACCCATGGAATCCTTAACAATCTTCTAAATGTCCACATTTCAAGCGCGTTAAGTCGATTTATTGTATTCCGGTTTAATGTCCATGATTCAGCTCCATAGTAGAGTACACTGTGTACGTAGCAATTAGCTTTATTCTGAGGGCCAATGTCTGCCATAAAATTTTTTCATTTTCACGAAGTTGGCACATGCTTTTTCAATTCTGACTCTTATCTCTGCAGTATAGTCGTTATTTTCTGTGATTATCGTTCCCAAGTAAGTATATTTTTTACACTCTCCCAATCTGCTGGCCGCCTACCGTTAATATTTCATTTGTATAGATGTTCTTGTTAATTTTCAAGAATTTGGTTTTTTTGATGTTAGAGAAAGTCCGTATTCTCCACTATATCTTAATATTTTGTTCATTATTCTTTCTAAGTCTTCCAAGTTGTCGGCTATTATGACTGTATCGTCGGCATACCTAATGTTGTTAATTAAACTTCCGTTCACTTTTATGCCGACTGGTTATTTCTTCAGAATAAGCATTAAACAATAACGGCGACAGTATGCAACCTTGCCTGACCCCTCTTTTTATCTTCACTTCTTCTGAAACTTCTCTTCCTATTTTCACATTTGATCGTTGGCTGTAGTATAAATTTGATATCAATGTTACATCCAGATTCTTGTTTTTGAGTACTTCTATAAGTCGGTCATGTTTTATTTTATCGAATGCCTTGTTGCAGTCTATAAAGCATACATAAAGATCTCGATTAACATATAAACATCTTTGGGTCAGCACGTTAAAAGAAAATAGTGACGCTCTTGTGCCCACTCCATTCCGAAATCCAAACTGGGAATCACTAATATCCATCTCCAGCTTAGCGTGTATTCTATTATGGATGATTTTTAACAGGGTTTTTAAGGTATGTGACATTAGACATCGTTCGATAATCACTACATTCGTTGGCATTTACTTTCTTTGGTAGACAAATAAATGTTGATGTCGGCATTTCACGTGGAATAATTCCTGTGGAATAGATTGTGTTCAGTAGTTGGACTAAAAGATCTATGTTTTTTTCATTGACCAGTTTTAGCAATTCACTTGGTAGTTCCGTTTCCGTTCGGTAATTCACTTGTTCACATTCTCAGCAAAATTCTGCTTGTTTTTATGATTTTTAGAAGTTCAGTGGCATTTTCATGTCTGACGACTGGAGTACTCATATACGGCTAAACATTAAGTTAAAAAAAAATTGTTTTAAAAATCCTTTATAAAAGGTATATAAAAAATGCCCCAAACGGGCTATCACAAACACATTGCAAAACGAGGACCTGTTGATAACAACTCAGTTGTTATCAAAGGGTCCTCGTAGTCACTTCGTCTCAGGACCATTTTACTTATGTAGTCATACGCCGCCATGTTACCTATCCAACGGTAACTTAAACATCACAAATTATAACTATTAATAATGTAAAACAACTACAAATTTAAAACATTTAAAGGGTTTTGACCCATATATTTTGGTGGCTACTAGCATGTACAACCGTTTGTACTGATGATGGATTTATCAATCCGAAAACATTTTGCAATGTGTTTGTGATAGCCCGTTTGGGGCATTTTTATATACCTTTTATAAAGGATTTTAAACAATTTTTTGTGATATATGGTATACAGCCAGCTACAGGAACTTAGTTTCCTAGTGGAATATTAAGTTTAAAAATTGATATATCCAAACAGTTTTATTTTATCATTAAAATAAACAACAATTACCTTTTTTAGATCATGCAACCAGAAGCTTCAATCTCCTTCAAGGAAAATCTTTATGGGGAAACCAGTGTTACTATTTCTAGAAAAGATCAATTCCAAGAACACGTCTCCCACTTAGGCACAGATGATTTCGCCAAAGTTGTAGAGAGTGGATCTTTTATTGACAAATCGTTGTTAATAGAAGATATTTTAAAATATAACTGTGTCTTAATAACAGCTCCTCATGGATCTGGAAAATCGACTAATATGCATATGGTATGTAAAGGATGCAATTATATGAGTATAAGTACTTATATATTATATATATTATTATATATATATATATATATATATATATATATATATATGAAAATTACTAAGTTGTCGGGGGAACAACCGCGTTAAGAATTTGAAACTCGACGTTTCGACACCCATTTTGGAGCCATTATCCAGAGGGATACGATTCAAAACATCTCGCTTTATCCTTACAACCATTAGCCGAAAACGCCTCGTCATGGTCAAAAACTCTTTTCATTTCTTTGATCTTTTGAAAAATATTTCTATTTCATTCTACTAGTTAGTTTTGACATTGTTTATTTATTCATCGACATTCCTATCGATGAAACCATTTCCGTCTTGGACTCTAAACATCAAATCCCCTATTTAACAGATGTATACAGGGTGGTCCTTAAGTAATTGTACAAAAAGAAACCGTAGATTTTACACTTTAAAATATTTCGATTTAAGTCAAGTTGCTTTAATAAAATGTTAATATTAAGAAAGATACAGGGTGTTAAAGTGGAAATTTAAAATTTTATTTTTTGGTATAACTTTCATGTTTGTCAACTTTTATTATAAAAATTTACAACTGGGTAGTATTAAATATCAGAAATTTTAATTTGGTGTGTACTTCGATGTATCTGATAGAGGGCGCCACATATGCCACATACGTGGCATATATTTGCACTTAACTTTTTTGCTTCTCAAGTTATGGGTATTTTTATTAAAAAATATTAAAGATACATTATTTTAACAAAAAAAAGGTATACTTCTTAATATCCTCAAAACTCAACAGTTTTCGAGATAATCGCATTTTAGAAATCAACTACATAATTCTGATTTATCTCAATTACTCCAGACAACGAAAGAAAATTAAAGAAAAACATCAATACTTCTGAATTTTGGTATAAAATACCTTTAATAAAGTTAATAGTTAACGAATTATTAAATAAAATAAATATATCAGCAGGATAAAATGACAGGATTTGATAAATAACAGAATAATTGGATTTTTACATCAAACATTTTACGTTTTGTATTAAATTAAAGGCATAATCAAAACATTTTATTTACAAACCAAATTAAGAAATAGTTAAACTAAATAACGTTGAACTTTTTGTCAAAGTAAGTGTTCAATATGTCCACCATTTTCTTTAATTCATTTGTCAATACATTCCATAAAATATCGTCTCATATTAAATAACATCATTGGTTCTAAAGAAACTGCTGCAGTATTTATTATAAGTGTTATACGTATAATAATAAGTAATTTTTTGAAATTTTTATGAACTAAATAATTATATTAATATCTCACCACAAGAATATGACTTTCTTTTATTCTATTATTATTATTATTCTATTATTATTATTTTATTCTATTCTTTAGAATTTGTTTTGAATTGGTTCTTTAGAACCAATGATGCTATTTAATATAAGACAATATTTTATAGAATGTATCAACAAATGATTTAAAGAAAATGGTGGACATATCGAACACTTACTTTGACAAAAAATTTAATGTTATTTAGTTTAACAATTTCTTAATTTGGTTTGTAAAATAAAAATGTTTGATGTAAAATCCAATTATTCTGTTATTTTATCGAATTCTATTATTAATTATCCTGCTGATATATTTATTTTATTTAATATTTCGTTAACTATTAACTTTATTAAAGGAATTTTATAACAAAATTTAGAAGTATTGATGTTTTTATCTATTTTTCTTTCATTGTCTGAAGTAATTGCGTTAAATCAGAATTATGCAGTTGATTTGTAAAATGCGATTATCTCGAAAACTGTTGAGTTTTGAAGTTATTAACAAGTATACCTTTTCTTTGTTAAAATAATGTATCTTTAATATTTTTTATCAAAAATACCGCTAACTTGAAGAACAAAAAAGTTAAGTGCAAATGTATGCCACGTATGTGGTATATGTGGCGCCCTCTATCGGCTATATCAAAGTATGCCTCAAATTATAATTCCTAATATTAAATAGTACCCAGTTGTAAATTTTTATACATAAATGTTTACAAACATGAAAGTTATAGCGAAAAATAAAATTTTAAATTTCCACTTTAACACCCTGTATCTTTTTTAATATCAACTTTTTATTAAAGCAAGTTGATTTTAATCGTATTATTTTAAAGCGTAGAATCTGCGGTTTCTTTTTGTACAATTACTTAAGGACCACCCTGTATACATTATCACTTATATAACACTGCATGTCTAATACATACTTTTAATTATAAAATCATTTCTATCGTCCAATTAAAGGTGTACCAATGGAATCCTACTCTCTCCCGTAATAACTGATATCTACATGGAACATTTCGAAACAGCAGGCCTGTCCTCATCAAATCTCGAAATCAGCTGCTGGTTATAGTATGTTGATGACATCTTTGTCATTTGTGTTTTTCCTATTCCGTGTACCAGAAACCCACCCATACAAACGGTTATCTCAATGCTCAGTCACATCGCCACCCCGTCCAACTCAATTCAGCAACACTCTTGTTTCCCGTTCCATAAGACTTAGCGACAATAATCAGATCATCCGAAATCAATTCAACAAGGCAAACACTTTTACAAAACGGCTACCACAAAACCCAAATCAATAGGAGCATTCAAAACTTGTTCCAGTTGCCCACGTACATACATAGGACAGACAAACCGACGAATCCATAACCGTATTTACGAACATTCTATATCTGTAAAACATTACGATGCTACTTTAGCTCTAGCCCAATATCACATTCAGACAGGCATCAAAATAGATTTCGAAAAAGCAAAAAAGTATCGCTCCCATCTGCTCCTTAAAATCGAGAATCATTCGTGAAGCCATCGAAATTGAAAAACTGTCTGACAGAATAAACACGCGCGATGATGCCAAACGACTCACAAACATAGATTTCAAAGATTTAGGACGGCCAAAATTATTTTTGGGGTAATTTTGCTTCTACGTTCAATTCAATTAAAGAAAAATTTGTAGTAAAGAAAAAAAAAATATTTTTTACAACAAATATATTAGTCATTCTATAAAAAACAGTAATAGTTACAAAATACAAATGAATGAAAACTCGAATTAACAATAAAGAAAAATAAATTAATAATCATTATCTTCCGGTACAGACGTCTCCACTGACTCTGTGTTTGGGTCAGCAGGTAATAAAAGTTCAATCGTTTCAGATAGAAATGCCTTGCGTGAAGGTTTTTTTATTTGTCTCGAGCAACTAATAAAGGGATCCGAGCTTAACAAAAGCCTATAATATATATCTAAGTTACACTCCTCCCTAGAAAACTTTCTAGCAAAATTTAACCGGTATGATCGGAAATGCTTGTTCCGGGCTTCTGCAGCTTCTTCTGATAGCTGTCCTATTGGAAGTAGCGAACATTTTATAATTTGGCTTCCATGTATCAATAGCTTGTGCATGGTTGGCGTCATTGGGTGCCAATCATACAGTTCCACATACAATTTTGCTGTTTCGTACGCATACGTATCAAATTTATCAGCATCTATTTTGTGGCCACTTGAAATAGCTTCTAAAATAACTTTAAATCTGTATATCAGATCAAAGCTAATTCCTGTAATGTCTGAAGCCAATTCGAGATTTTCAAAAAATCTGCGGCTTGTGTTACCATCATTGGTGTTGCCAAAGTTGGCCTTTGGCATGTCAACGAGTAGTCCGGTTTCATTCCGAAACCTCTCCTGAATTTCCGACTTCTTTTGAACTTCTAATGCCTTTTCTTCTTCACTTTTTCTTTCCCTGTATTTTTTTACAGGTAGTTTATACCCAAGGTGTATAATACTTTTAAAAATACGGATCCGTGCGTGTAATATTGACAAACCGAATTCCAAAGCTTGAGGGTTTACAGTATTTTTCATTGACAAATCATTAAAGTTCTTCGAGGTAGCCCGACAAATGTAGCACTGGGATGTTGACTTTGTGTCTGTGGCTGCGTTGCACACCTTACCGTCAATCATACTCATTGTGAGTTGGTGTCCGAACGACAACTCTTCTTCATTTAACGTAACAACTGTACAGTTTAGTTGTTTAATAGACTCCTGCACATATTTTATTTCTTCTTTAGTTACATCTGTTGTTTCTTTTACAAATCTATTTAGCATATATTTATACATATTTATACATATATTTTATACAAAATTTAGCAGCGTGGACAATAACTTCATTACCTACGGAGGCTATTATTTCTTCCGTCTTCCTTCGTTTACTACGCTCACTTAATTCCCAAAAGACTTGGGTGGTCGACCTTGAGCGAAAACTATTTCAACAGGAATTTCGATTGTTCCCTCTAATCACAATTGTTTTTTTTCAGGAAAACACCTAGGTGTTTATTTGATTTTGCCCATCGTTGCTTAATTTGTGATTTTATATTAGAATATTTTTGTTTGAAGACATCTTTAGCCTCTTGGTTTTGCCCATAATGCATTAGGAGAAAATTCTCATAATAGTCAAGTTTTTTATTTAATGTTTGGTACATTTTGACTTTGTAATTGGTCAAATATATATTGACGACTCACTACTTTAGTATCCGATGCAGTAGGTAGACCTGAAACAAATGAAAAACGAGTTTAATACAAAATAACGCAAACTCAATATTTTGAAATATTTGAAATATAGAGCATTTCAAAGAGGCTTAACTCAAAAAAGCGCGAATTTGCGCGGTTGTTTTTTATAGAATTACTTAGTTACATATGTCAAGTATTTATTATAATAAAAATTATGACAGGGACGGACTAAGAAGTACTTTAAAACAGTTATTGAATATAAATTGATGTATAAAAATACATTATGAACAAGGTGATGTTTGTCGTGTTCAAAATAAATTATAGATAATGTGAACTGAGTTATTGTGTTTTCAAAAACAATAGTTCTTACCTGTATTATCGCAATCCATTACAATTAAAACGAAACAATAAGCTTGAAATGAATAATGCACTTAAGAAAGTTATAAGTTTAGGAGAGCGTCGAAAACTAACACGTACAAACTTGTTTACTGTCAAATTCGAATGACAGTAGGCCAGCTCCGGGTGGAGGGGATATTATATTGTAGGTGGAACTGTTAACTCACCGAAACGGTTGATAGCTTACCGTTATTTCAACTTTAAAAAATGACTTTTGGCCTCCTAAATATCTAAAATCTATGTATGTGCGACTGCTGGCAACATGGCGACCGCTGTTTGGTCCATCTTTGCGATTTTTGGGTCATCAGCGAAGCTTGAAGAAAATCTTGATCTTTGAATACATTCGGGTTCAATTGGTAAATTCCCAGAGAGATTCTCCTTTACTTATATTCACAACTATGTATTATTTATTGAAAAGACCTGCAGGTTGTCTTAGACATTAATTGTGTCTTCCTGTTGCATTCATGCCCATAAGCAGCGTTCAGCGGCCCATAAAACGACATCCAGCGGCTGTGTTCTGTAAGAACTGTTAGGTGGAATTTAAAGCATTGTGATGTGGATTTCCTTGCAAAAGTTAAATGCTTGGAGAAAAATACGACTGCTGTGATTGTTAAGAATTAATAACACAGGTAATTCTCGGGAAGTTTATAGCAAATGATGCGAAATTTTTGAGCTAAGTGACAAATAAGTCTTTATTTGTTCACCCATCTTTAAAGTTGGTGTATAATACACCGGCTGGTCCATCTTTATTTAATAAAGGCTTCATTCTATGTTTGCCAACAATAAACATGGGTTGTATGAAATTTCCAGCTGCACTCATCGCACACATGACTGATGTTGCTTCCTCGTTTGCCGCTTGTAACAGATCCGACTGTTCTTTGTCCTTTTTCGGCTAGCCCTTTTCATGGATCTGTCACCCTGGTGATAGCAGTTTCGTCAGCATTGTACACAACTTTTCCATTAAGTCGCAAAGTTTATCATAGTTGAAATGATAAACTGAAATGGGCTACTTCTTTTTTATTGAAAGTAGAAATCTATTTAAGATTGTCACTTCAGCTTTGCGTATAGAAACTGAAAACTGAAGGACTGCGTCTCATAAAGGTGTGTACCCAATCCAATCTACCTGTTGTACTATGATCAAAATTGTGTTTGATATTGTTGAGCTCAACATATTTACAACACAAGTTTACGGCCTGCCCAATTTCTTTTTAGTTCCGCTATGCGTTCCAGAACATCAGCAATACTCGTCCTTCTTCGCAGATCATTCGTCTCTGTGCCACTCTCAATTTCGAAGCTGTAGTCTTGGTTAGAGTTATAGTTTCCGCCCCATAGGTCACCGGTTTGACCGAGTTGACCGGTTTTCTTTTGAGACTAATTGGTATATTGGCCCTAAGTATGTCTCACAGTTTTCCAAAGGCTGCCCACTCTAAAGTAATTCGTCTTTGGATTTCGCATGTTTGGTTATCTCTGCTGATTCTTATTTCATTACTCAAATACGTATATTTCTCCACCAGTTCTACCACTTTGTTTTGAATAGTTAAATGGTTATCGGGGACAATATTTGTCATAAACTTAGTTTTGGTTAAGTTCGTTCTGAGGCCCACCTTCGAACATGCAAAATCCAATTCATTTAACATATTGGCTTCTAAATTATCTGTGATAAATACAATGTCATCTGCAAAACGGAGATGGTTAAGCTTTTCGCCGTCTATTGTTACTCCTCTGTGGTTCCAATTGACCATCTTAAAGACATACTCTAATGCCGTTAAGAATAATTTCGGTGACAATATATCTCATTGCCTTTTCCCACGTTTTATTTTGATTGGTCGCCAATAAAATCCTTTTAGTATATCATATTTAAAGGAAAAATCGGTTAACATTCAAATTTTATAGATGTGTTTCCAATCTAAATGGGTTACACTATACTAAAAATAATTTTTATACACTTGAGTGCAAAACAATCGACTCAGAAGCGATATTTGAGATTACACCTTCTGTTTTAATGTAAAAAGTATGAAAATAACAAAATATAATGTGCAAACAGTAACTTTATTATTAAACTTACAAAAACTGCTATTTGATTATTTTTAAGACGCATTATAAAAACAATATGCAATACGAACAGAGTTTCTCAAATGTTCATCATTGGAACTATCCCAAGAAAGACGTAATGAACAGATAAATCATCAATTACAAAATGATTTTTTTGTTTTTCAGTATCTGATATTACCACCAATATTCCTAATTACACTTTCCAATCGATTTCGCATGGATCGGATAACTTTTCTAATAAATTCTTGAGGCATTGCTTCCCATTCATCATTAAGCGCAGCTCTCAATTCCATTATGCTCCTTGGTGCACGATTTCTGCTCCGGACCCTTCGTTTAAGCTCATGCCAAACATGCTCTATTGGATTTATGTCCGGACTCAACGTAGGCTAATTTATTGTAGGTATACCGATCTCAGTCAGATAGGCGGTGGTGACTCGTGCGGTATGACATCGTGCATTATCATGCAATAAAATAAAGGCATTACCAATAAATCCCGCATATGGAACCACATGTTACTCCAAAATATCTCTGTTTTCCCATCCATTGAAATGCCTGCCCAAAACATACAAGAACCACCTCCATATGACACAATTTCTCGTATACAACATTGAGCAAATCGTTCCCCTGGCCTTCTATAGACCCGACGCCCTTTTCGTTGTCATGTAGGTAGATCCTATTTTCGTCCGAGAATAATACCTGACTCTTTTTGGTGTCAGGTTGGCTGCTTTCAGTCTCCTGACTGTCCAAATACTGGCAACCACACCTCGAACCTCTCTAAGCTCTTCTTTGAGGTTAGTACCAGTCAAATGTCGATTTCTCAGGGATTTAGATACAAGAAATCGATCATCTCTCTCTGTTGTTATTCGTTTACGACCTCCTCCTTGTCGGCGAACATAATCACCAGTATCTTGGTACCGACGATACACTCGGGACACAGCAGATTAGCTTAAATTTAGTCGATTTTCCACGGCTCTCTGGCTCAGGTCTTCTCTCAATAATGCTACTGCTTGAGTTGGTTTGACGGATGTGGTATCCATTTGTTATGAAGTTGCGAACTTAATTGATGTATTAGTGGGTTGCTATTGATTGAAACAGGAGACGTACTTTTGCAAAATAATTTTGAGTCTATTTTTTTTCCACTCATGTGTAGTTTCCTAAAAATAGTTTATTTTAGGTAAAACGATTTTTGGAAATTGTCGTTGGAGAAGATGGCTTACTACGAGACTTAAGAACGACGTACAATTACAGAATATTCCGAGATGCAAAGCTTCAAATTACAGAAAATATGAAGTTATGCAAGGACCATATGGGACAGCATCCTGTAATTTTTATAAACTTTAAACCTTTAAGCATTATCAACGATTTTGACGATATGATAACAAAGTTTAAATATATTTTAAGGCAGACCTTCTCGCAACATTCTTACCTTACGAAGAATGCGGGGTTATTAATGCAATCCAGCCGAGAGCTTTTTCAAAAATATTGCGATCCAGGAGCGAGCCTAGAGCTGACTTTAGCAGAAATAGAAATGGGTTTTACATTTTTAACTGAATTACTGTTTGTATATTTTAGAAAACAGGTAACAGTCTTAATTGATAATTATGATGCGTATATTGATAGTTTGATGTTTAAAAATAATCCTGATACTGAAAAAATAATGAATTTTATGCAGTTGATGAACACTGAATTATTAAAATCAAATCGGTTCGTTAATTTTGCGTTTTTGACGGGCGTATTTCCAGTAACTACTTCTGGTATATTTACGGTCTCTCTCAATATAAAAACATTTTATTTCCTAGATAATCATGACTTCTGCAAGTATTACGGTATTACTATGGAAGAATTAAGTGACTTGTTAAGAAAGTTTATTATAGATGCACACGAGAGAGATAAAACAGAAAGAATTATAGCCGAATATTACGGAGGATATGTTGTGCCTAGCCAAAATCTGGTCTTGTTTAATCTTTGGTCCGTGTTCAACTATTTAGATAATAAAAAGTTACCTTTTAACTACTGGTGTCAGCCAGAACACTATGATTATTTTAAATTATTGTTTTCAATAAAGGACATTGGTGAAGAAATTCAACAATTGTTATTAGGTCTGACTAGATGTACGGATATCTCAAAACCCATTTCCAATCTTAATTTTCGTACCTTAATAAAAATGTTCAGTGACAAAGAAAGTTACGGTTCATCTTCAAGTTTATTTTTGAAGGTTCTGTATCATTTAGGATATCTTACAGCCAACGAGCAGTTAACTTTTGATCTAACCGAAGTTTATCTCAGAATACCAAATTCTGAAATTCGATTGGAGTTCGCAAGAATCTTAAAAGATACTTATATCGAAAAATACAATTTTAAAGAAAAATATATAAGGCCTTTCCATTCAGCTGCTAATTCTTTTAATAGTAATTCATTTGACAACAGCAAATTTGAATCATTCTGTAGGGCTTTAAACGACTTATTTATAAATTCCTCCTACTACGAGTTTCCACAAAATTCCAATAACTTTCAGTGTATACTGTTCACAATATTGGCTAGTAAATTTTGCATAACCCAATCAGAAATCTATAGGACGAACTTAAGTAATACCATAGATATATTAACTGTAAACGATTCTGGTGTAGGCATCTTCATAGAAACACGAATTTTGGATGGAGATAAGAAGGAACAAGACATCGCTATAAAAGCTCATAAACAGGTTCTTGACAAAAAATGTTGTGAATATTTTGACAGAAATTTTGAGGCTACCATGGGAAAGATAATAATTGGTATGTGTATAAATGAAAGTCATTGTATTAGTATTGCCTATTCTTATCATTTTCAAAATACAGATAATATTGAAACTGTTACCTTTATATCCGTATCTGCGTAGACTTTGTTACCTTACTTTTATTACTTGTTTAATTTTTTAATTTGAAATTAGATTAGAATCTTCGAACATATCGAGAATAAGACCAACTCAGAAATCTCAACTGGTCTAGATTCTACATTTTCACATGTCTAGTCTAATTTAACAGGATAAACATTTTGTTTTATAAAATTAGACAAACTGATATAATTTTTTAAATGTAATGATATTTAAATACATTTGTTAATATATAAAGTGTAAAATAAAGAATTTGTGAAAAGAACTGTTTTTTTATAAAATTGTAACAAGTATACTAAAATCTGATCCCAAATAATAGAATTTACAGGTCTGAAACGCTCAAAAATGAATAAACAACAGATGTATACTTTTATTCATTATTTTGTGCAGGCCACTGTTACGTGAGTCTATTGTTAATTGAACTATATAGTCAAGCCAATATTAAATGAAATTATAAATAAAAAATCACTCCGTAAGTGGTCAAATGTAGCCGAAATCACGTGCTCATCATGAATTCTAGTTTGAGTTAGATCATTGGCCTAGCGTAAGAAAATGTTTATTTTGGCCATTGTAACAGTAGAATATTATATTTCTACTTGTAATAAAAATAATACGTTAGATCTAGTTTATAAAATAAGTTTTCATTCACATTAATGTGTAGACTGAGCGGAAGTCGACTACATATATACCTATAGTCGGAATTCAATAGGATAGTCAGGTTATCGCTTAGAAATGATAGACCCTCGAGGGGTCCGAGAGAAGAGACGCGTGTAGTGCAATGGTGGCGTGTATATTTTAAAAATAAAAGAAATAATACGGAACTTACACATCAAAATATTTTTGCGTCAACGGTCAAAGTTGTTAATTTATGTTAAATATATTAATATATTTTGTTAGAATGTCATGTAAAAATATTATATTCAAAATATTACGTCTTAACAATTCATTGTGTAAGTCAGATGTACACACAGTATTTTCATTCATTTATATTATTTTTACTTTAAGAAATATGTACATGTTTATTTTACAACATCTCAAATGCTAAATTATACTTACTTAAGCCGTCCTCTTGTACCTTACGGTGTCGAGGTGTTAAATTATGTTATATGTATTTTAAATCCAAAACTTTCTTCCCTTATACTAATGAAATGTTACGAATATACTTCTGATTCGTACTAATTTGTAATAAACAAAACCTATCATTTATAAATATCTTAAAATTCATAACAAACAAGAAAGAAAATAACTTAAAAATGTAAACGAAACTTTTAGTAATAAACGTAAGAATAAACTAATAACTATTGTATCGCCTTGCATTTCCCCAATATATCTTCCACTGCTTTTTATAAAATTTTCCACCACTAAGACATCAAACTGTAGATGAATTGTCAGATTAACCTTTTGAAAAACCCTCGTTAGTCATAATATGCGTTTTAAACTAAACACGACGTAGCATTCAAATTGAGCAATTTCCAAGAATGTAATGATAATATTTTGCTTACCTCAGGGTAAGAAGATTGGGAAAACAAAATAAATCGAAACAAATGCGTACGGCACTCAGTTGGTTGTTGGAGAGCTGGGTCGTGGATAAGTTGAAGATATGGGGGTTGGATTGGGGCAACTACAAAAAAAGAAATAAAGGGGTATTTAATCTCTTGGTTCAATCAAATCAAATTGAAATTGTTTTACAACAATAGATTACAGCAAATGTCATATGTCAACATAACATTTTAAATCAGAATAAAATATGACATTTTTTAGCTACGACATAATGTAAAACTTTAATTATTACAAATTCTTTTATTTTAATGAAAGCAATTATCAAAAATGTCTTTATAACTTGAAAAAATTAATATATTAAAAGTTACCTTAATTCACATATTCACTTAACTTTGAAACTTGCCAATATCTCTGGTCATTTTCTCCAACAGGAACAAGGAAATTATTTCCATATTCAGGAACGAGTTTGGGGCAAACAGGTGACAAACGAAGCTGGTGGCACACCCTATGTACTGCTTTAAAATTTTACCATGTTCTGGTATACTGCACAAATCCTTTTAGTGGTTTCTCTATGCTAATCCGTCATATTTACGGAAAGTCCACTTTTTTACAGGTCTGGTTAATTAACCCATTACACAGATTTACCGGCTGTTTCTTAAAAATGCACAAGTCCTTTCAACTCGAGCTGCCTTATATCACCTGCCTGCTTCGTTGCTCTTTTTAACCTAACCTTCGTTCGATTTCAAACCAAAAACGCTAAATAATTCCACTCCTGATCTAAATCTAATATCGGCGTGGACGACCCTCTCTCTAAACGACAAAAACAATTTTTAAATATTCCAGCTTATTGCGTTTTTAACGACGAAAGACAAATAAAACCTCTTTTTTATACTAGGTGGCTTCATGTAATATAATCCCTTTATGCAACAAAAAAATGTTAAAATAGATATAACATAATACAAATTAAAAATAGCACGTAGTTTATTGACGACCCAAAAACCGGTTGTCTTTGTAACACAGAGATAAAAACATATATATTGTTGCCTTATCTCGACGAAAAAAAACTTGAAATATTCACAACATGCATTTAACTTCTTCGAAATATTTAAAGCTATATTATCGATCGTTTTTCTTGGTAAAAACAACCAGGAATGTATTACAAAAATCTAAAATATAAAAAGCTACAAGAACACATTTTTTTTTATTGGGTTAATGCCTCGACAACTAATGGTCATTGGCATGGTACAGTCAGTTATCTAGTGTAGTGTGTGTGTGTGTGTGTGTGTGTGTGTGTGTGTGTGTGTGTGTGTGTGTGTGTATGTGTAAATTGTCTTGATACTTAACAAAGTCGACGTCATTGTCTTTACTAAGAGACGCTAATTGTATCCGAACGTCTGCGGTCCCTCCAGTGAGTACCGATCGCACAAGGATAGAAATTATTTTCATTCATTAATTTTTTAATAAACGAAAATTTCTCCACCCAGGTGAGATTCGAGCTCACAACCTTTAGGTTTAAAGGTAGGCGCTCTTACCACTGAGCCACAGAGGGGGTTTGAATTTCCAATTAAATACGATTAAAACGGAAATAATAGAATTCTCGAAACAACCTTGTTTTTCTTTTGAACTTTTATTTACAATCAATTTCTACATGAGAGTTTTAAGTAAATGTGAATGAATTTGTAAATAGATAATAGTTTCAAAATAACTTAGTCGTCGCTTTGTTATCGACTTCTAGCAGGTAGAATGTACATTATTTATTTATTTTTTTTTAAATAAAATTCATATTCTAATATAAATACCAACTGCTTTACAGAAAATAATAATTCTAGACCCAACAACCTAATGTAAACTGCAATTGTGAAAAACAAACTTGCCATAATAATAATAATAAAGTTATTAGGTACATACCTACTTAGAAAATTATAACCGAGTAGGACGAAGGATCTCACAGGTAGTCTCCGAATGTAGCAACAACAAATCACTAGAACTGTACCTATTTGTTATTATTTTAAAGAAATATTTTTATTCTGAATCACTTCCTGTTGTTAATTCACTAGCACTACTGTCTTCTCCTGGAGTAATGATAATGGGCTCGATAAGAACATCAATACGCGTGTCTACGTCCCACATTTTATCTTCTTTCTGTGTATGTTTAATTCATGACTGCCAGTTGGAAGCGGTTATATTTTGTATGGCTTGGTCTAATAATAATTTGATATCTTTTAATTTAAAGGTTGTATTCTTTTGCGCTACCTCATTTTTTATTTGTGCCCATATCAGCTCTATGGGATTCAATTCACAATGATACGGTGAAGTTCTTAATGGTCATGCCATGCTCACGTGCCATTTTGTCTACTGCAATCTGATGTATGAACTCTTACGTTCGCGCACTATATCAAGTAATTGAATTTTTATCATGGATTCATCAAAATATATTGTTGGTATCTAAAATACTCAAATTAGTTTTATTTCAGAAGGATATTAAATTTAGTCTTATAATAGAAAGAGTGCTTGCAACCGCAGATGCTTGTTTGGTTTGTATGTACCCACATAATGTATTGTAAAAACATGCCATAACGTGTTTATTTGGAAGAAATTGAGTCATGCATGACGTGAATCATATTGTTACAAATACTCTACGTAATTAATCTACGTATTGCTTTTTACTAGCGGTTACATGACACAACAAACAATAATAGAGAAAGACTATTAGAATTTAACAGCAGCATTAAATATGGACATAAGTAGCACAAGATATAAACACAAAGACATACACAAAATAACATAGATGAGACCAGGAAGTCTGGAGGGAAATCAAATAGACCATGAGTGATTAAAAAGATACAAACAATCAATAAATGACGTTAGATCTAACAGAGGGGATAACATCGATTCGGACATTATGCTAGTGATTACAAAATGTAAAATAAATACAACGAAGAATGAAAGGCGTAAAGAACAGAAAATGGGACTTGATAACGGGAAAGAATTAAGGAGAAGATTTATACGAGAGGTAAATACAGAGATGCAGTTGAAAGAATAACAAATGGAGGAACAGTGGAAAAAATCAAACAAGGAATAAACAATGCAGCAGAAAAAGTAGTTGAGAAAAAGCAAAATAAAAGAAGAAATAATTAGTTTGACGATGAGTGCAGAAAGTGGAGGAAGAAAAGAATAAAACAAGATTAAAATGGTTAAGCAAAGCAAAGAAGAGGAACGAGAAAAATACAAAGATGAATGGCAAAATACAAAGAAATTGTTCTGAAGCTATTTTCTTGTGGCATTTTAAATTAATTACTATTTAACTGGGAATAAGCCACAATTAAAGATAAAAATACGTTTATTGACGTTTCAATTTCCACTTCGGAAATCGTTCTTACATTTCCGAAGTGGAAATTGAAACGTCAATAAACGTATTTTTATCTTTAATTGTGGCTTATTCCCAGTTAAATAGTAATTAACAAAGAAATTATTTAAATCGAAAAAAAAAAATCAAAAAGTAAAGAAATTCTCAACGAG